TAAGTATGCAATTAATTCTGCATATTTCTTTATTTCTTTTTACCGGATATTACATAATTTCGGTTTATTCTGGTCATACGCTCTGTTGCCAATTCTCACACCTGTCATAATTAGCGCTTTCTCTGCAGAGTTCTTATATATATATGTATATATACATTAGCCCGATCTCATTCTTTATCTAATATGTATCTGGCGCGTGACGCCACGGCAATAATTTTGCATTACAAGTGCTAATTGGGCTGTGTGTTAAGTTTGTTTCTCTTTTATATAGAGTATATATATACTATATATAGAGTATATTTATAATCATGCTGTGCTCTTCTCTGCACACCCACAAATCAGAAATTTAAACCAAACAATCGATTAAATAATTAATCAACAACAAGGCATGCTCGAGTTTCCGATTAGCCAATTTTCCAATCAGATTTGTAATTATATTTCAGCATTTTATATGTGACATAATCCCAGTTATCTCTGACTCTAATACAGACACACGCACACACACGCACACGCACACACTCTCGTTAACTCTCTCTTTCAGGCTGATTATCAATTATCGCGCCGCAATCAGAGGACAGATAAGGAGACCCCACGAATAACCATGCTGGGCAAATGCTAGAGAACTGCGCCGGGCAATTAAATGCGCTTACAAAACGCACACACACACACACGCACACACACGTACACACACACGCATGCATAGATAGACAGAAATCGAGACATGGCGCTTACATAATTCTAAAAAGTCAGCCGTATTTGGGTTAAGCTAAAGAAAATGATTTGCTAATTTCTTGCGCTGAAACGAGAAATTTAAGTTTTTCCGTGCGCCACTCTCTCTCTCTCTCTCTCTCTCTCACTCAGGCGTTCTCCCTCTCTCTCTCTGTCTCTCTCTAGCTCTTTCTCTATTTGTGTGTGTGCTCAGTTGTTGCCAATCTATTCCCAACCTACCTCAAAATGTTTTGCGTTAGGCCTCAAAGCAACAGACCTCGTTGTGCAGCTGTGGGTTGGCGCACGGCGGGTGGGCGGGCGGCGGGTGGCGGGTGGTGGTGGTGGGTTCAGGCTAACTACGGAGACGACGTCGCTCTTTTACACTATTTCCCACACACACACACACACACATGCATGCACACACAATCGCATGCTTACAGAAGCTGAAGCTGCGCTGCTTACTCATGTAAAGGGAGCAGCAGACAGAGCGGAAGAGAGGGAGGGCGAGAGAGAGCGAAAGAGAGAGAGAGAGCGTAACAAGCTTGTAAGCGCTCGTTGCGCTCTTCGCCTCATGTCGCAATTGAAAGTTGCCTCGCATTCTGCTTGTGACTGCGTCTGTGTGTGTGTGTGTGTGTGTGTGTGTAGTTGTGGGCGGTGAATTGGGAACGGGAGCAGAGCTGTGGTTGAAACCCCAAAAGGTTGAAGGTAAAACAAAATCAAAAGCAAAACAAACTAAATAAAGTCGTGTAGAAAAAGGTTAAAATATAAATAAAAAATAAAATTATTGCATGTTGTAAGAGGGCAACACACACACACACACACACATGCGTGTTTACTATGCTCTCGCGTGTGTGTGCGTGTATAAAATAACCAAATAAAGTTTGTCAAAAGAGTTTTGTGAAAGCAACAACAAAATATTTTTTGTTGGTTTTTGGTAAAATTTGTAAAGAATTTGCCGAACTAAAGTTTCCCAGCGTTGCCACAAATGTTGATCGAGATGATAACGTGGACTTTTTTATTTACTTTTTCTTATATCAAGGAGTGAAGAGGGGGGGGGGGGGGGGGGGGGAGTGGCACAGCTTCAACACGAGCTGCTGGCTGATTTGAACGCTTTGGCATTTTTGATTTGATTTCGAGGCACCAGCATTTTGTGCATTCTGCGGGCCAAGTTTGCGGTTTGCCGGGCTTTCGATACGTTTGCAGGAAATTATAAGCCAGAAATTGCATTAAAAAAAAAAGCCGGGCGATTGTGAGGCACTTTAATGCAAGTTGACGACAACAAAACAAGTACAAGTGCTCTGCATTGATAACAGAATTAAATTAGGTCAGTTAAAACGAAAAACTAAGCATTATCCAGTAGAAATTAGTATATTACCTATATAATAGCTTAGTGCCTGATGATGCTTACAGATGAAGCGAAGAACAAGTAAAGCTTTCTTTAAAGAGATTAAAAGCCAATTTTAGATATGTATCTTTAAGATACATTTCTGTCAAAGTTCCAAGTATCTAACTAGGGAGGCAAGGCGATTAAAAGCCTTTTCTGAAATTTGTATCTTTAAGATACATTTCTGTTGTAGCTCCGAGTATCTAGTTGAGAAGCGGAGGCAGATTAAAGACCTTTCGTTTAATTTGTATCTTTTAGATACATTTCTGTTGTAGCTCCGAGTATCTAGTTAGTGGGCGGAGGCAGATTAAACCCCTTTCGTTGAATTTGTATCTTTCAGATACGTATCTGTTCCAATTCTGATTGTCTAGAATGCATTCAGTTAAATATAAACATTGTCTCCAGCTGTAGTCAACAGGTTTATATAAATATACACGTCTTAGGGTTTTGTTAAAGGTCAGTTTATTTCTGCCAGAGCTTTCATTTTCAGTGCTTAGACAATTCATTCGCGTCCAGCTGGCAATTGCATAAATCTGTCAAAGCCATGTACTTCATAACCCGAATTCCGGCGAAGAATCCTGCTCAGTTCTTAATCCCCCTCCCCCTCCCCGCTACACACACACACACGCAACGCCCACTTAGCAGAGCTGCGAGCGACGCGCATTTCCGCTAATACAAAAATTTCAAGTACCTGACGCCCTTTTAAGAACAAGTACATATATCCATATGTATATATGTATGCGTATATAGATTATGTATTGAAGTATTTATTTAGCACATATGCATGTGTGTGTGTGTGTGTGTGTGTGTGTGTGTGTGTAGCGACTTTTGTATTTAACGTTGAGATTCCCTGCAGCCAAATCGGAGCAAAGGCAACAACCGCTTGCAAAAGTCAAAAGAGACGCCCGTGTCAAATAGAGGAAACAAGTTGTTGGCTGTTTATGCGAAGGGTTACCTCTAGAGCCAGTCGGAGTCTACTACTAACACACATACACATGTAACAAGTGCCAACACACACACACACACACACACACACACAGCAGTCCCCCAGTTGGCAGTTGCCAGTTGGCGCCTTGGCAATTCGCCGCAGCAGCAGCGTTCAAGCAACTGAGAAACTATTTCACACATACACACACAAGCTAAACATTACAATTTACGACACACACACATGCATGCAGAGTGAATGCAGCGCGAATGGCAAAGCAAAGCAAAGTCGAGAGCATTTGATAGTTGAGCGGCATTGCCGCTCGCTAGAAAGCTCCTCGCACACACTAACTCTCTCTCTCTCTCGCTCTCTCTCTCTCGCTCTCACACGGCTCTGTTGTAGTTGTAGTTGTGGCTGCTCTTGTTGTTGCTGCTGCTGTGCGTTTGCCGCCTAAAGTAATCAATAAAATTGTTGAGGTGGGTTAGGAAACTGTTACGAAGCTGCCGCCGCTCTTTGCTCGGACAGCGACGCTGGCAGCGACGTTACCGTCGCCGTCGCCGTCGCCGTTGTCGTCGTCAGCGGAAATTGCGCTATTTTAAATAATGTTTATTTTGCGTTTGGACGTCTTTGTTTTTTGTTTGGGGGAGCGCATATATATTTTTTTTTTCTTCTTTTTTTTTTTGTTATAAATTTTGCCTGGCATTGTTGTTGTTGTTGTTGTTGTTGCCAAATTGACATTTCACAATTTTGGTCTACTAAAAGTTGAAAGATTCAAAGCGAACCTCAAATGGATTTCGACAAAAGCTGCCACAGTTTTAACAGAAGCTGCCACATACGCAGTCGAATGAATAGATACGAGTTTATGCAGCATTAGCCACAGCTTGACGCACACACACACACACACACACACACATGTCCATCAATCAAATATGTGTTTGTCAGTTAAATGCGAGAATATCTAAATAGTTTCAAGATATTGCATATATAGATATACTATATAAAGATAAATAACGTTAAAAAATAATTATAAAAACTCATTCATTTCTAACCACAAATTAAGGGCACAAATTAAGTTTCCTGTTTCTATTTTTAATTAAAATGATAAAAAGTTATTTAAAAAGATTGAGTTTAATACATCTTGATGTAAGAAGCACCAACAAATGTTAGTCAAACATTGTACATCTTGATGTAAAGATGTAGATATGCACAAGATTCCACCAAACCATTCTGGAAGTTTCTATATGGTATTTCAGAGTCAAGCACTGCTGACTTAATCAGCATGTTTGCCATAATCTTGATGTAAAACCATGATGTACATAAATAAATAACCATACATAAATGTATGATACATCTTGATGTAAGTACTCTAGTCAATCATTCTTTTACGAATATACATTAGCTGTACTTTTCCAACTGTTGGTTTAGGGTATATCACAGTCAAGCACTGCCTATTTAAGCAGCTATACATCTTGATGTAAATACATGATGTACATACATCAAACATGCACCAAGGCTATTCCAGAAATTGGTTTGGAATATAAACAGTCAATTACTTCCAACAATACATCTTGATGTATAAAAATACATGATGTATATAAATATGACTACTCAAGAAATTGGATTAGGATATATCCACTCAAGGACTTTAAATATCACAGTATGATGAATACATGATGTATACAAATATAACAGGTTTGGGATATATCCAGTCAAGCAGTTCAAACCTCACAATACATCTTGACGTATGCAATAGCATGATGTATATATGTAAGATGCAGCTACACTTTTCTAGAAATTGACTATCCGTTCAATAACTTCAGTATACATCTTGATGTACATAAATGTATGATATCATCAAGTCCTGTTCTTAAAAATATATATGCAAAAATATATATACAGTCGTCTAGAGTTTTATCTAGGGTATTTTCTGGTCAAGCACACCCGCCCATTGGGCCATTATCTCATTAACAATTTGCCACTTACAGTAGCGCTTCATCAAGCTCTTCTTGTAGGCGGCGGAGCGTTCCGCCGGCTTCAGCCGCATCCTCGCCCGTTCGCAATGCGTGGATGCATCTTCGTCGGATTCTGTGCCGGAGTAAGTGCGTCCCCGTCGCCGGCTGCATGCAGTGGCGCCTGTTGACGATGCCGCCGCCGCTGCTGCGGCTGCATTTGCCGCTGTCGCGGCGCTGCTCAGCGAGAGATCGAGGGGTGAGTCGTAGCCGTTCTGGTACTGCAGCTCGAGCAGCTCCTCATCGTTGGAGGCATCCGCCTCGATGTCCGCATCGGCGTCCTCCTCGAGCGCTTCCTCGTCCTCGATGTCGCTCATTTGCTGTGGCAGCTGTGTCTGTGTCTGCTGCTGCTGCTGCTGCACTTGCAACTCGTTGCTGCTGGTGATGACGCTGCTGCGCTGCAGCTGCTGCTTGCGCTCCCAAAGTATCTTGGAGACATCGTCCAGGGTGCTGCGCGTCTTGTCTGGCTCGGATTGATGCTGCTGCTGCTGCTGTTGCTGCCTCAGGTGATTGTAGAGCACTTTGAACTCGCGGCAATCTGTTGCAATGCTCTCCACATCCTCCTCCTCCTCCTCCTGCTTCTCCTTATCCTTCTCCTGCTTGGCCTGTGCCTGCTTCGTTTCCTCAGCTGCTGCCTGCTCCTTTGTCTCTTCTGCAGCTTTGCTGCCAGCTGCTGCGGCTTCCTTTTCCACTGCAGGAGCTAAATCTGGACTTAGGCTTGGAGCAGGTCTTGGACTCTGTCGCTCTGACTTGATCTCATCTATGGCACCTGCGATTGCTGGTTTACTTGGCTCCGACTGCGCATCCTTGGCCGATACGGACGCGGGCGCTGGTGATGTGGGCGTCTGCGGCGCCAGGGGCGAGGCGACTGGCGTTGGCGTGGGCGTGGCACAGCAGGCAGCAGCCGTAGGCGATGCCGCCGGCGAGGCGGACGCAGAGCCTGACACGGACGAGGCAGAGCAGGCGGACGACAGCGACAGCAGCGACGACGAGGAGCTCGACGAACTGGAGCTGGAGATGGATGATGATGATGAGGAGACGTTCGAGAGTGCCGCCGTCGCAAAATTATGCGCCGTGGCGGCCACCAAATGTTGCACCATTATCATTTTAACAGTTTCTAAATAGATAACACATACACGCACACACTCACGTTCTCTATAGGTTGCACATGCTTTCGATATATATATATATGTATATTATTTGTGTATTTCAGATATTGCGCTACAATTTTGAGGTATATTTGCACTATTTTGTTGTGATTGGCCGTTGGCGCCGCCTGCAGCTAAGCACATCTTTGTGGCAGGCCATCAACGGGCGGCCAATGGGGCAACGCGCCACACGCAACGCGAATACGCGGAAACAAACGTAAAGTCCGTCCGGCAACAGCGAATTCTGCTTCGCCGTTTGCCGTTGCTTTTGCTGTGTGCTACGCTGTGTGTGTTTGGCTTTGCTTTGCTGTCAGCCGCCGCACGTCATTTATCTCTTACGGTATCAGCAAAACTAAAATCTAAAGTCAGCACAAAAAGCACTGCCGAGTGTTTATTAGGCGCAAACAAACGTTGCAGGCGGCGACTGCGACGCGACTGCAGCGTGCGATGTTCGCGACGTCGACGTTTCTGGCAAAGCGCGCGCGCGCCCCACTCACAAACACAGAGACGCACTCACAGAGAGCACAAAAGAGAGAGAGAGAGAGACAGGTGGGAAGGCAAATGGCGAAAAAATGAGCAAGCGACTGCGACTGCGACAGCGACCGCGACAGCGACTGAATGGGGCTCGCTTGCTCGGCTCGCGCCAACTGGAAGAGCGCGAGCCACGAAATGTTGTTGGGACCGACGCTGCGCTGTGCTGCTATTGCGAAAACGATGTCGATGTCGGCGTCGGCGTCGCTGTCGCAGTCGCAGTCTCAGCCGGGAGCGCGCCAAAATGGTAAGCAAACGTAACAGTTTTGCGTTTCGCGAGAGCAAAATGTTTGGCGCTCTGCTCTCTGCTTCTGTTGCTGTTCGTATGTTAAATGTAAACGAATATGTGCGTACGCTTGTGCTTACATCTGTTTGCATGTGTGTGCGTGTGTATGTGCACGGCTGCTGCTGCTGCAGCTAAGACTGTTTTTGTATTGGGTGGTTCTGTGTGCCACATGCGCATTTGCATTGCATTTCTCCTCTAGGGACATTGAGTGGCAAACATTGCCAAACGGCACAGTGGGGCAGAATACAAATGTTTTCAATTGCCTCAGATGTAACATATGCAGTGGATGTAACAGGCGTACATGCGTACAAACAGATGTACACATGTATGTGCATATAGACACATTCGAGCATGCATACATACACATATGAGTAAATACATACATACAGCCTTCAAGGCTTACTCGAATTCATGAGAATCGCAGAGTAGGGCCATATTTAAGAAGGGGTTTCTTTCAATATTTAGCTCAGCGGAAAGCAAACTTGGTCTGCGTTTGACAGATGACAATGCACACACACACACACACATACATACATGCATACTTGAATACACACATATACGATAAATATAAAAAGCTTTTGCTCGGCTAAGAGTTACCCTTAAGCCTGATTTAAATGTGTTTCAGCCCATCCATTAAAGCCAAGTTGAACTTAAAGCTCCATGTTCTATGACTAAATCTTTATATTATTTTCAAATACGGTTCTCAAGTACAACTAAAATATGTATCTACCTATTTAAGCCTTAGCACCCAATCCTCTGAGTCTTATACAATCCTGTTTCCATATAAATCCGCTCAGCAAACTCTTGATAAGTTATCTAAGAGGCCAACTGAAAAACAAAAAGCTTTAAACTCCACCATTATCTAATGTTTCCGATATTACAAAACACATTCCAAATTTAAGACTACTTCACTGCGATTTTACTTATGCTTATTTAAAGCCTTATAACCCTTCCAATCTTTTCTAGCTAGCCTGATCTACAGGCCAGATCCCATACAATTACATTTCATACATTAACACACATACAAGCAAACTCACACACACACATGCACACATTCACGTAAGTTTGCATGTAGATGTGGCCGCCTCTCTTGTAATAGCCGCTGCGACCCAGACCCAGTGCGTTCACTTCAGTGGAGCAAGTGGCGAGCAATTGCAGCTATCTGGGCCCCCAAATGGGTCAGGCCAAGTCAAAAGGGCTGCGCGATCATGGGGGAGCAGCAGCAGCAGTGAGTGTATGTGTGGCTGTGTGTGTGTGCGAGAGTGCGACAAGTGAGCAGGAGGTGATGATGCCGACGTCGACGTCGACGTCACTGCTGCAATATCATCGTGCAATCGCAACGACTATGACTCAATGCAAGTGTGTGTGAGAGAGAGAGGGACAGAGAGAAAGAGAGTGGGATGGAGAGAGAGAGTGCGAGAGCAAAAGTACTCTCTCAGCCGCCGTCGCCGTCTCCGTCTGCGTCGCTGTCACCGTTTGACGATGGCAGTAGAGCAAATTTTCACTTTCCGTTTGTTTAGTTGTTGGGGGCCTTTCCATTTACTTGCCAATTGCAATTGTGTGCGTGTGCGTGTGCGTGTCTGTGTTTGTGTATTTGTTTCTCTCTCTCACAGCTCAACATGTGTGCCTGAATATTGCAAATAAAGGAAGCAGAACAAGAGCTGAAGAAGAAGATGAAACAGAAGGAAGAGTTTGGCGTTTGTGCAAACACAGGGAAGGGGAAGGGGAGTGGGACGGGGTGTGGAAGCCATGGGGAGAACTTTAATGAGGCGACGACAACGAAGACGACGACGACGTCGTTGGCGACACAGACATACTTTTGCTAAGCTAGTGTGTGTGCAAAATGAGTCCAATGTACCGACAACTGGTAGCTGGTCAAGGGAGGCGAGCGTCAGGGGGAGGGGAGCACAGACAGCTCCTTTGGCAACAACACAAAACAGACACACACACACACAGCCAGAGCTAGAAAGATGGAGGTAGAGCGAGAGAAGGAGAGAGAGGGAAAGCAAAGCGGGGCACAGACACAGAGACGCAAAAGAATTTTGAAGAGGAAGCGCATTAGGTGGCTTTACTTTGGGGCTGGGCACCTCGACATGTCGGGACGGACTGCCAATTGAGTTGGAACTGGAACTGGAACTGGAACTGCGACTGAGTGCTGGTAGCTTAGGCTTGTGTTGTCGATTCATGTTTCATGTTTCAACAAAAGTCATTGAACAGACGCCGACGACGACAACTGCAAATGCTTGACTCCTGCTCCTGCTCCCGCTCCTGTTCCTGCTGCTGGCAACGTCTCGGCTCAGACGTTAAGTCAATGGTTAGGAAGTGTCGGAAATGTATCGCTTTACTGTGCTGCGGGGGAGGTGGCGGGAAGGGGTACCGCCTCCAATCCCCTTTGAGTATCATGCGAATCGCCGCGTCATCGCCAACGACGACGACGACGACGACGACAACTGCGACGGCGAGACAACATTTTCGGAGTAAACAGCAGTGAATGACCTCATATCATCTAATACACGCGCCATGCGCCCAAACCCAGTCAACAGACGCCCTTCCCTCCCCCACCCCTCCTCCACTCCTCGCCAGCTGCGACTGACTAACCTGCAGACGGTTGAGGAGCTTGCCAGCCCTCATTCCCAATCACAGTTACTCGACGATTACGATGGCAACAACGGCAACGACGACGTCGACGTCGACGTTTGTCAAACTTATTTGTGCTCCTCCATTCACGAAAAATCATCAGACTTGTAATTGTTACGGTTTCCACTGCTTTTTGGCTGGAGCAGAAGGGGGTGCGTCAGGGGGGGGGGGGGACTTGTTAGGTTGCTGGGAGATCTCTTTGTTTGACGGTCGGTAATCTGGTCAATGATGTTAGTTCTTTGTCTGCCCAGCAAGCGATGGGCGGTGGGTGGTGGGCGGGGCGGTCGGGGTCACTTGTAGGTTAAACGAGCGACATTTATGACGGCTGCGTTTGATTTTGATTTGGATTTAGATTTAGATTTTAATGCCAGCCAGATAAGGGATACAAATTCTGCTTGATTATCCCTATAAGCTGAAGCATAATTTTAACATTTGACCTGCGGGGATATCTCGATTAAAGAGAGCGAGGTGGGAGATAGAGATAGAGAGAGTGAGAGATGGAGAGTGTGAGCTGGAGAGAGACTGAGAGCGATTTGCAGCAGATGCAAGTGAAAGTGAAAATTTCTGGAATATATTGGCAATTTTTGAGTGATAACAATGCAAAACATCGACGTCTGACAGATTCCAGAATATTTTGGAAGTTTCTGGTGATAACAATAAAAGTATTTTAGACAATTTTCAAAAACAGATTCGACAAACGTATTATTTTGGTAATTACATTATTATCTGGGAGATAACAACTTTTGAGTATGTCCATAATGTCTATTGGCATAAAAATAACACAGGTCTAGACTGGAACTAAGAAGTAATAAAAACAAAGGGAAATTTCAAGACATTTCCAGAGAGCTGAAAGCTGTATACGTATAATCGTAAATATTATATGAATTCGAAGCTGAAATTTCATCCCTTCTTTACATTAGGTACAGTAAGACACTCCTCTTTGATCTCATGGCTTGGGCTGAGCGTTGATCATCAGTCAGTAAGCCAGTCAATCAGTCAGTCAATCAGTCTGTCATTTAGTCAGTCAGTCAATCAGTCTGTCATTAAGTCAGTCAGTCAATCATAATTGATAAATTTCATAATTTTTGGCCCAACAGTCAGTCAATTAGTCTTTCAGTCAGTCAGTCATTCAATCAGTCATTCAGTCAGTCATTCAATCATCCAGTCAATAAATACAAGTTAACAAGCTTATAAAGTTGGCCAACACTCATAACTGATGAGTTTAATAATAGTTGACCCAACAGATCAATCAGTCACTCATTCATTCAACAAGTCAGTCAATCAATATATACAAGTAAAAAGCAGATAAATTTGGCCAAGACTCATAATTGATAAGGTTAACAGCTGTTGGGCCAAGAAGCGCTTGTGAAGAGCTCGCTGTTTTCTTTTGCTGGCTTCAGGAAATTTCCAGTCGAGTTTTCAGCATTGTTTTCTTTTAATTGAATGTTGTTTCTTCTTCTATTTTGGTTGCACTTTTCGTTGTAGCTGCAGTTGTATATTGGCATTCACCTTTTCATTCAGAAAGCGACTAGCTCAGCGCTTTTATTGCCTCACAGCAGCAACCTTCAGCGCAACTGTTTCCCCATTTCTTAACAACAACAACAACAACAACGACAACACCTGAAAATGATTACGTTAGCCGAGAAGTTCAGTTACTTAAAAAACTAAACAACGCACTTGACCCTCAGCGAAAGACATAAATATCATTGTTATTAACATTGGAGCCGCAAAAAACAACAAAAACAACTGTTGTCAACTCTCGGCTGACCCACGCGGCGTATGCGCAACGTCCACAGGTGTAATTAAACGTGTAAATGCGGCCTGTTACATAGCAATTACATGAGCCGGGCCCAAAGCAGCGACCAAACAGTTACCGACGCAGCCCTTGAAGTTTGTGGCTTAAAGCGAACACACAAGCAGAAAGAAACCAGCGAGAAGTTAGAGAAGCACCAGCAACTGCAACAGATTTCGCATATTGCAGAATTGTTTTCAAGGGAATAGTTGCAGCAGCAAGCAGCAGAGCAGAGAGAAGTCCTGCTGGAATTGTCCTGGCCCAATCCCAGTTAATGATGACGAGAGCATCTATCGCGTCGTCTGGCTAGTTACTATGTCTTTATGTGTTTTAATTAAAGTTAAACGAAATCGAAAGCCAACCAGACAGCATTAAATGTTGTTCAAAGGAAATGGCTGATGGGGCAGCAGCAGATTTGCAGTTGTTGTCTCAATACCCATTGATAAATGTTTAGGTAGGGTATGCTGGACTAGTGCAAGTGCATGTAACAGACAGAGGAAGACATATGCATATATATATAACTGATCAGAATCATATGTATGCATATATACTTGATCAGACTCAAGTACATACATATATATAACTGATCAGAATCGGAATACCTGATAAAGTCGTCTGTCTATTCGTCAAGCTAAGAACAATTCTAGTTGTATGTTCTTCTTATCAACACCTAACACGCGCTTATCTCTCACTTTTCGATATCTCCATATCGATAAATATCGATTTTAAGACAATCTCTTACAAGCAAACCTCGAAGATTATAAGACCTAGATGCATCAAATTTGGTATGTCGACTATCTTTTTGAATACCTAGCTTAAGCATATTTCATTTTGTGCATACATTCCCTTCATTACCGCCAAATGAAAAGAAACCGTATTTATAAAGTTCCAGTCTTGCGCTTGGGAATGCACACACATTTGGCTATCATATTCGAGCCCTGAAAATTTCACAAAGATTGGCCTGTAAACAACAGAGATATCTAAGAACACATTTTCTATAGAGTGAAGAAGCACAGAGTGTGCCTATGTGTATGTGTGTGTGTTGAATGTGTGTAAAGACAGCTCGTCGCTAGTTTTAGGGTATCTCCCCGTCGGTCAGTCCAGTCTAGTCTGCTTGTTGTTGGCCATCCACATGGACTGGCTCTGCCCGTTTGAACGGCGCTTTTCCACTTGCACTTGACAACGAAAATGCCACAACAAAAAAAAAAAAACAGCAGAGCTGGCACAAACAAACAAACGAGCAAGAAAGACAGAAAGAAGGAGGAGGGAGAGAAAGAAAAAGAAAGAAAAACTCGTGAGCCAAACCACAAACAATGGCATCCTACTTTTGGCCACAACAAGTCGCTCATACGCCCCGTTGGCCCGGTTAGACCGTAGCCCGTTGGCATTGTTTGCCTCGTCTGCAGCGCTGCGTCTCGCCCCTCCCCATCCTTCGTCCCCTTCCCCTCCGCTGCCCGTCGCGTCTTTATCGTTTTTTGGTTTTCCTTTCTTTGGCCGCATGTTGCACTTGCACTTTCTTTTTGCATTATGGCGTGTGGAAAAACTTTCGATTTTCTCGCATAAAATGAACAAAATAATAAAAAAAAAAACAACCGAAAAGCAAATTATTTTTGCCGTTTTTTTTTGTTTGCAGCTGCAAAGAAAATGAAAGCGAGAAGTGCAACAACACGGCGCCGGAGACGGGCGACTCACTGCCAAATCTGTTAATAGGTATGTGAAGGAAAAAAACTCGAATCGGGTTTTCTTTCCCGCAGCGCCCTAAATTTGAAGCCTCGGGAGCAGCTCCGATGTTGGGCCAGTTTCATTTTATTACAATCACTTGAGGGTGTCAGAATCTAATCTTTATAGGAGATTATTTGGTGGAGAGTGTACGACTGCCAGAATACCCTTTAGCTGGAACTAAATGAAATATTGTGGAGTTGCTCGAAATATGTCCTCAATGTCTTGCCTGATTTGTGACTGACTAAGAGATAATCTGTAACCAGCCTTTATGAATGTTTTAAGTATATGTTTTAAGTTTCTTTTTCTTTTATCTGAAAAGTTAGATATTCTTATCTCGTGAGCCTATATCTTGTTTAATTCTCGAGATATGTTCAAAAAACAATTCACAAAATTATCGATTCTTAGAAAATTGGGAAACTTTATCGAAAAAAATCTGAAGCCTATTCTTTATGTGATGATAGAGAGGCTGAATATACCAAATTTGGGTCGCCACATCGTGAAGTATCTGAGAAAAGCGGGAAGATCAACTAAGCTCTTCCCTTATATAGATATCAGTGCATGTGAGGGATTATAGAAGAATGCTTATTTTCTTGTAAATGGATGAAGGGTATTTAAACTAGGTCCTCTATCCTTGTTAATGGATGGTGGAATACTACGAAAGAGCGCATATTTCCGTTCTAATGGGTGTAAGCGATTGCGAATTTGCTTATGAGTGCGTATAGAGTATTAAAAACGAGTGTATATTTCCTTGTAAATTAGTGTAGGGTATTAAAAAGAGTGCTTATTTCCCTTTAAACGGATATAGGGTATTAGAAGCGAGCGCCTATATCCTTCTAAATAGATGTAGGGTATTAAACCGAGGTCCTATTTCCTTTTAAATTAATGTAGGGTATTAAGAGCGTGTGCCTACCTTCATGTAGGTTCTCAAAAACGCGTGCCTCCTGCCTTTCAAATGGATGTAGGGTATTAAAAAACCTATTCATATGCCGCAGAGTTCGTCTGAAATCTTGTGCAACTAATCTCGATTTTATACCGATTTTGATGGCATTTAATAGCCGTATCGATGGTCACGTGCCACCTGCAACCGGAGCAAATTGCGGCTTGAGCTTGAGCCAAGCGAAATAATCATGATTTTCCTAACCGACTTTACCAGGTTGGATGACTTCAGAGCTCCGTTGCATTTGTATGCATCGTCGGTCATTCATAATGAAAGTGAATTTCGCATAGTTTTTCTTTCCTTTGCCCGCGATTGTGGGGAGGGGGAGGGGGAGGGAGGGGGGATGCAATCAGTGCGGACAG